AATACTTGTTACGTATACAAGTTTTGTATAGAGATTTTGTGGAAAAAGTTGGTAGCTACTTTGTAATGTAGCTTTTGGTAGATATTGAGACCGAATGTGTAAAGTTATATTTTTTGAATATATGGAAATATATATTTATATGCAAATGTGATTGTCGGCTGTTTCATCTCATAATTCATTCAATTATACCAAATAGATGTATGTCTTATCTAAATGTGTTATAATAAGTTTGTAAAATTATAGGCTCTATTACTAAAATTTCATACATTTATTTGGTAAAAATAGCCTAAAATAGTGAATTGTTTGGTCCTATAAGAGAATTAAAATACTATCATGTGAGGGATGCTCAACGACTTGCGCTTAAATGACGCCAGTGACAACATCGAGCTAATAATGACCAAAAATATAAAACAACGAAGTATATGAAAAATATTTAATTATTTTATCATAAATAGTAATAAAATAATATAATTTTTATGTATTAATTCTTTAATAAAAAAAATATGTGTTGTTCCTGTTAGGGTCTACAAGATGTGTATAACAGTTTGTAGAGGGGGAGATGAATATAAACACGTTAAACTTTTCAAATTTAAAATATATATTGATAAAGAAGGATCAATACAGATTTTACAAGATTATTTGCGGAAAGATAAGGTAAAGATAACCTATCTAAACAATATAAGTTACACACTAGTTCTTAGCAAAGAGAAATGATTTGTTGTTTAAGACTTAGAAGAAAGTAAGTTCTTTCTGGGTAAGAACTATTTAGAATACTAAAAAGGGATTCTAACTTGCTTTTGAAGATAAGCGTATTGTGTTATTAGATGTGTGTTCTTTTACTTATGAACGTAAGTTAGAGTTCAAGAGTAAGTGTATATATCTCTACATGAAGATAGAACACATTTATTTATACCCATTGCATTAAATGCACATATTAATGCAATGCAGTAGGATTTGAACACGCATCAAACCTTTAGAGAAAGAATTGTTTTTTGCTACAATGAATAGTACAAAAACCTATTCATGAACAGACATCCATTCATGGAGTTGGTGGGTAGTAGAGTCAACTTATCGGCTCCGTACCGTACTATGCTTTTAGAAAGGGTAAGGGTTTGTTCTTTGTGTGTATAAGGACAAGACAAAATTAATCGGGCTCAACAAGCTTCTTTTGATCACTGAATGCTGGAATAACCTGAAGGTCTCTTCAGCATTTGCTGAGGCTTATGCAATCTTCACACATGTATAGACCAGGTTGTAATCACTGAATACTGCTTCAGATCATGAACTCGCCAGTTTCTAATTTTTCAGTTTCAATCTTCGACTTTCGCTGAAGGTTCTTTGGTGTGAGTTTTGTCTTTTGTCGCTATCGCTGATAGATTTACATTACATGTTCTCAGCGATCTCTGAACAGACTCAGTGATGATCGTTGGAACTGAAAGACATAAACATAATTACTTTGTATAAGATAAAAGGGATTATCATCAAATCACTGAGAGAGAGGATTAACAATATGTTTGATTAAATCAAATAGACTATAATGCATATATATAGGGTTGGGTTCACGTGAGACCAACGGTTTTTCGTGAGATCCGTGAGACCAATTCATGTTCATTGATCACCTTTATAAGCTAACGATCTAATGGTCTCTCTCTCTCTATATATATATATAGACTTGGGATCATGTGAGACCAAGGGTTTTTCGTGAGATCTGTAAGACCAATTCTCAACCCTTGGATTAGATCTATAATTTAAATATTCATAATCACAGAATTGCCACGAGACTTCTCAATAATTACAAAATTGTCACCGTGCAACTTTAGACCATTAGATCGTTAGCTTATAAAGGTGATCAATGAACATGAATTGGTCTCATTGGTCTCATGAAAAACCGTTGGTCTCACGTGAACCCAACCCTATATATATATATATATATATATATAAAATAAACCAAAAGAAAAGATAAAAAAAACACTAAAATACTCTTAGGGTGCGTTTGGTTTGCAGGAATGTTTCTGAGGTATTTGGATTCCTGGAGGGATTTGGATTCCATGGGATTTGGATTGGATTGGATTTAAAATCCATTCATGTGTTTGGTTTGCAGGATTTGGATTTGATTTGAAATCCATTCCTCTGATTGGGCACAATGACACAGCAGTTTAGGGTAGGTTCTTGATGTGTTTAATGCACCAATCCTCAACACTGGTATTTAAATCATATGCCCATTTGTACAGCATAACATGCAAGTTCTAGAAAGTGATCATGTAATTATTTATGGAGTTAATTGTCATCTGAGCTTCATACTAAAGCAGTTGAACAAGTATCATGAGTTTTCAGTGCGATTAGGTACAGCTACATCTAGGTAATGCCTTCAATATTTTAACTTCTCTATGTTATATAAGTGCATTCAAGTGTAATATATCATAAGAACTCATAAACAGGAGGCAGAGAATGCTTCTCAGATGCTTACTGTAGTAGAAAAAAACATCAAATTAAAACCCCCAAAATGCAGACCAGAATCGAGCATGTCTAATGTTATACAAAAGGGGTTATATGATTTACCTGCTGAGTGATGGGAGAAGGCGACAAACAGGAAGGGCGGTTTAGGGAGCAGCTTCGCGAGGGGAAAGGAAGACAGCACCAGCGAGGAGGCAAACCGATTAGGGCACAGCTTCGCAAGGGATGGGACGGGAAGGGAGCACCGGCGAGGAGGATTGATTAGGGCGGGAGGAAGCGATGGGAAGGAATCGATGGGAGGGAATCTGGGTGAAGGAAGCCTGAGGAAGGTGGGTGAAGCAATCAACAGGAATCGATGGGAAGGAGAAGCCCGGATTTGGATTTCAAATCCCGCTAGTTTGCAATGGATTTCCAAATCCCGCGTCTAATGTATTTTAATGAAATCCCAGGATTCCAAATCCCTCCAATTTGGCAAACCAAACACAGGATTGAAATGGATTTTAATTCCAAATCCCCCCAATTCCATTCCATTCTTACAAACCAAACGCACCCTTAAGTTAAATGGAAGATATTTAATAGTTTTGGTCTCGAGAACAATAACAGCAATAATATCTAAACCATAGGGGCGAAAATAACAATAAATTATAAACCATACAGATGAAAACTAAAATTTTAAAACCATAAAGACGAAAATCGCAATCTTTCACAAACCACAAGGAAATCGTAGTTTACTCATATATAAAAGATAAAGACACTTGCTTTGAAGACAAATATTTTAGCTAAGAGAATTAATAATATTTAATTATGTTTTTACTTAATGTTATTTGAATTAATAATTTTTCATGTAATGTAAAATTTATTAATTAAAATTTGTGGTTTTTTAATTTAATAATTCTTCATTAAATAAATTAATTATTAATTATTGATTATCATAAAATACATTTATAAATTATAATTATTGTTATTAAAAATAGTTTAATAATAAATAAAATATGTTATTTTGATATCTGATCAATAAATTTAATATTTTTTAGAGTTTGTTAAAATTGACTTTTTTAATGTTTATATACCCATTATATTTGATGTTTTTTATGTCAGACATTAAAGTTGCTCCAAGCATAACAAAAAAAAGGCCTGTATCCTTCTATATTGTTAAATACATTCCTACTTAGAGGTTATCTGACATATTCTGAATGGTTTGTTGAAGAATGATTAAGAGACTCTTATAATATAGTGCAAAATGAAATATAATTGTTTGATAGTTATTTACAACATGGCGTTGAATGGTTTTGGAACCATTAAAATACACACTTTTCTTTGTCAAACAAGATTCACCTCTTAACGATTCAGATACCGCTTCTTAATAAAACTATTAAGAGGTAAACAAACAACCCTTAATAATTTCATTTTCATACATATTAAAGATGGAGTGTTTCATGGAGAGAAAGAGAGAGAATGCAATCTAGGAAGATGAAGAGTAGAAGTGACATTAAATCCAAGAAAGTGAAACAGAGATGTAATTAAATGGGTCAAAAATAACCCCCCACCCCACCCACCCACCTCGTAAACCTCTTTTCCCATAAACACCATTCACCATGGTATGATGCATCTACAGTACCCTCTCTACACTTCCCCATTTTCAATCTCCATTCCCTCCACCCTCCAACCAACCATCATTCCATATTCATATATGTTACAAAACAAATAACCATTAAATTATATTACTAAAATACATAGGAGCAGTTTATTAAACGCTTATCCGGTAAGTATTTATTGGGTAATTTTTCTCATCGGATGAATATGGCAAGGGCCAAGAATCTTATCCGGTAAAAACGATGATAATGATGGAGAGTCTTACCCGGTAAGTGAGGATGACGGCTCTTATCCGGGTAAGCACTTACCAGACAAATTGTTGCATGAAATACGTTTTGATGTACTACAATCTTACCCAATAAAATAAATTATAGTATTGCCTCCTAACGACAAACACTTACCAGGTAAACATTTAGGTAAACAGTCCCTTAATTTACAATAGCGTTATATATATGGTTTGTTAAATAAACCTCCTTTTAGACTCTTGTTATTTTCTTTGACTTAGATAAATGGATTTGAAAACTATAATACTTTCCAACTTTGGAATTTTTAGGTATTTTTGATCAACAAATTTACAAAATTGTTGACCATATTCAATTAATTTTGTAGTGAAATATTTGTGATAAATCTTGAAAATTCAATTACAAAATTAAAAATAAAATGAAAACACAATAACTACTACTTATTACATAACTTGTCTCTTTGTATAATACTCTTACACACACGCATATATATATATATATGTATATATATATATATGTGTGTGTGTGTGTTTGTGTATATATCTTGTTGCATAATATATATATATACACAGATATGGACAACAGTATGCAGAAAAAAGAAAGGGCCTTTTATCTCTCTAGATTGGTAAAGATCTTCTTTCATGTGTGTGTCTTTTTAATTTAAGTTTAATTTTCTTGTATTAAATTTCTAACTCTCATGAGGACAGCGACCCATCATCTTTCATCCTCTTCTATAAAACCCAGTTTTTCCCTTCCGTGATTTATGCTTCTTCCTTTTCCCCCCCATTAATTTTCCATTCATTCCCTTGCTTTTTCGTTTCATGTTCCATTTTTTCTTCTCTTTTAAGCTCTTGAAGGTTCATCAATCTCTGTAATTAGAGCTTCATAAAGCAGCTGCAATGGCGGTCGAGCCTCTCAAAACTGTCTAGCTTTCTTCTGTAAGCTCTAGCGTTTTCTCACACACAGTCACCATTTATGATGCATGATCTTACGTTACATTTATTACTGGATAAATTCTCTTTTCTTTAATTACACTTGATCGTTTTCTTGTATTTTACTTGCTATCATGCCATGGAAATGCTTAATTGAAGTGTGTTTCTTGGGTTTTTTTGTTTTGATAGAAATTATATTTTGGTCTTATTTTTCTTTAGGGTTAGGGTTTCATATGTAGTTCTTGGTTTTAGGAGTTACTTTTATTTATTGGATTTTTACTTTATTTTAAAGATTTATCTTTCTATAAAATCACCGAAATAATCTGATTATTATTCCATAAAAAACCCTAGATTCTTCTAACCCACACAAATAGAACAATTAATTGCTTCAACTTTATATTAGAAACCTAATACTACCATTTTAGGATATTATTTCTTAATCTCAAGATTCATACCATGTCCCCAAAATTTTCATTCTAAAGATTAATATCTGAGTTTTTGGTGCCTTATAACATAAAAACCATGCCATTTTTAGGTTTATTTTTGCCTTTCATTATTTAAGGTTCCCCATTAATGATTTGCATCTCCTGAAACTATTCTTGATTGGGTTTGGAGGGTTGCTCGTCACATTCTGTTTTTGTTCCTAATTCTTGTGAATTATGTAGACTCATCTGCCCAATTAATCTATGTGGTTCACCTCTTTGTTGTTTGTAGCCCAATATGACTAGTTTGGGATAAAAGACTTGTGTGTGAACCAGGTTTAGGTTTGTGCCCTTTAACATAGAATGTGTATATGAACCAGATTTTAGGTTAATTTGTTACCTTATGTCTACAAATATGATGTTTGGTTATGGTAGAGATAATGGAAGAATTAGAGGGAGCTTCCTTCAGTCCACTCATAGGTGGGTAGAGGGTATGGATTTGCTGCCGACTCATTCATTCAAACACAATAGAGACGACGGAGATTGGCTGCCTATTTTGAATGTGTGAATGATGCGGGAGACAAATTTAATCCTTTTCTTTTCTGTGCTTGGACTGAAGGGAGCTCCCTTAATTCCCCATCTTTCTTTATACCAAAAACACATCTGAAGCCATCCCATGGCCATGTATGCATGTATATATATATATATATATATATATATATGAGATCAGTGATGTAGAATCAAGATTGAATTTGGTTTTATATTCTTATCATCTTCCTTTGTGGTTTGTTGAAAATCCTATTTAGTTTTGTACAAAATGAGTGTTACCAGTACTATTCTTTTATAGAGCTTATTTGCTTCTTGTGAATTTGATGTCATTTGATATATAAACGCCATTACTTTCTTGAATGAAGTCCAGTAGGTGAAAATCTTGTCTTGATTCTTTGTGCATAATACTCTTTTGAGGTTTTTTTACCAAGAAACTGGCAGGGAGACCTTGAAGTAGTATTCTTTAAGATATTCATCAGAACGGATCTCCTTCATTTGTATTCTGTAGGTTGTGACCTTTTAATTTGCATCCTTTTTTTCCTTGTTACCCAATTGAAGGGATTCTGTGGATCGGTGTCAAAGATCAACCCGCCGTCTTTCGGCTAGACGGACGGTGGAGTTGTCTAGAATCATGGGTTCAGGTATTACTTTGCCTTTTCGCTACCGCTTGAATGGTTTCCCTTTAAATATATTCATCTACGGCAAATACTTACGTACACCGTTCCCCTTGAATTTTGTGAGTTTTTTTGGGATTATTTATCTTGGGTACTGCTTAAATGTTGTTTGGCATGGTTTAATCCTTGTGTATGGTCTCAATGATCCAAACCCTAATCTGATCCTTAATTTCATTGAAGCTTTCTGTTGACAAACAAAGGGACAAAGATGAAGCACACATTCTGTACATGTTCATTGGTTTTACTTTTCTGTAACTAAAATGTAGCGATGGGGCTAAGGTGTACATTGACATTTGACTGTCTTGTACTTTTACATTTTCTTTGGCAGTTGCAGGTTTGAATAAGAAATCTATCATTCACGTCATGTCATGTACTTACATTTTTCATTTTCTTTTGTTCACCTTTAATCAAATTTTTAGGTGTTAAAGAGGCTTGCCCATTAAGATCGAAAAAATATGATCTTAATGATTAGTGAAATGCTAGCTCTAAAAGTTGAACCTGATTTTTAAAAATAATGCTTTTGTGGCGTTATATATATATATATATATATATATATGCACTCTTTGCTTAAAGATGTAGTTCTTGGTTTTTGGAGTTATTTGATTGGCTGTATAAATCAAGAAGCAGCTTTAAGCGACACCCATGTTGGAACTTGAAGCTAATTTAAAACTATCAAGATTTCTTGGTATTTACACTTATTTAAAAGTGTATATTTAAGTATATTCACTAATGAATTTAAAAAAAACCCATATATTAGTTTTTTTTTCTACTGTATCACACCACTGTATTCAATTTTGTGGGTCTGTTTGTACCATCACCATGTGTTATAACTCGGTTTTTATTCTGACAACAAAATCCAAAGGCACAAACTTTTTTTTGAGATTATCTTGAAAAAGATTTGCTGTAAATTTTAAAAAAGAATCAGAGTTAAAATTAAGAAGGTTAACGTTCAAATTTGATAGGTTTTAGAGTGAATTGCATATTTTTTATGAGTCGTAATCTGTTTTTAATGGATTCCTATTCTTTTTCTGTAATATCAAAATATTACGTCTTGGTGGTTGCATTTTTTTCAATGTTAGTTTCTAATGCTAACTTCCATTCAAAATATCTAGTTTGGTTTAATTTGAAAGCTTCTGTCTTTTACTTCACTTGAACCGAAGACAGCGATGCGAACAGTTCAGGAGGCCGCAGAAGCTGCTTCTTCTCTCTTGCAAACAAGCCTACTACAATGACAAGGAAGGCCTTTACTCTTCCTTTCCTTTCAGTCGAGCTAGGTTGAAGACCTTCTCCAGAGGACTTTGTACCATACATTCCGGTGTGGTTGGATTCCACGTTGTCGGAAGCCCGCCCTTTTTTCTCTTGAACCTATAGGTTCGCAATAATTAAAATTGGTTATTTTATAAAGAAAGAGAGTCCGTCCGTTTATTGAGCGGCCAAGAATCTTCTGTGAAAAGGGGACCCCTTCCGTCGATGGTTTTCGAGCTTCCTTTTTTTATAGCATTAGCTGCTAGGAAAGAAAAATAAGAAATCCTGTTTACAATGAGTTCTCAAAAGATTGATTCAAGTTCCTTGCTGCTCAACCGAAGGTTGATTCATTGAAGTTTAGAGTCACTGTGACAAAACAAATGAAGTAAAGAATCCTGTTGACTTCTAATGTAGAAATTCAAGAGCCAAAGGAGGTGATGAAAAGACCTCTCTCTATCCCCCTTGCCTACTATGATGTCATGTTACATGGACAAAATAGTTGGTTATGCCAAGAAATTGACCCTTTCTATTAGTAAGGTTGTCGTATTGATCAAGGCGAAACTTGAGTGATTCTATTTGTTTCCGGTAATGCATATCCCAGGCTTGCATCACTTGATGTAACGAACGAATTCTAGTCTTGCAAGCATTTGTCTATGTTTGTTCACAAAATTGCTAAGCTCATTACTTATTTAAGTAGGCCTCGCTTTTCAGAGAAGGTGGACAAGGATGGGCTGTAGCTACTATATTAGGATAAAAGTAGTTGTCCCCACTTGAATCAAAATCTTTAGTTGGATTTCAAGCTTTCCTGAATTATGTCTGTCACTGCTTTGATTCATGCAGTTACTATGATAACAACTGGCATTTTCATGATAGCAAGGTGGGTAAAATCGGGGGGGAAGGACAAAGAATTTTAAAATGAAATCTATTGTAAAAAAGTAAGACTGTTAGTCTTGCTAAAGAAAAGAGTCGATTTTAGTATTGAGGTTACACCTATGGAGCAGGTTGTTTTTCCAGTTTGTCAGTCCTCGATTATAAGTTCTCATTGACCAACTTAAAAAATGAAGCCTATTTCTTTGAAATCCACTTTCCTGAAAGCTTACTAAGGTGCGACGCCTGATTGTGAGTCTGTAACAAAGCATCAGACCAAAAAGGGGAACTCTGGCTTCTACAAACTTCCTTTTCTCCATGCCCGTTCCGAATGCGCTTCGTGTGCCATTGGCGCTTTCATTCCAAAGGCGAGCATATCCATTGAGTGATTGTAACTACTATCGTTTACGAACCTATACGGAACACTTATCTCTTTCTCAGTGCTTACTACCACTTTTAGGGTAGGCAAGGCTAACTCAGCCGTTTACTTCTAGTCATTTAACGACTGAACTTGTTGGTCCTAATTTGTCTTTAAACCCATTCAGATCATTGAACCCGGTTCTTGGGAATAGTTGTTTTTTTATGGTAAATTAGTTGGTAGGACGGGCTACTCAATTTACCCCAGGGTAGCAGATTACCCAAAAAATACCTGAGAGCTCTCCCTGTCTCTGCCTTTCTTTCCTAGTCCTGAGTTTTTCTAGGCGGCATCCCCTCTTAGTTTTAAGTAAGCGAAACCATTCCGTTTTGGTTCTTCTCCACATTCTTGCGGATTTTGCAATCAAGAAGGTTAACGTTCAAATTCAATAGTTTTAGAGTGAATTGCATATCTTTTTACGAGTGGTAATTTGTTTTTAATGGATTCCTATCCTTTTTTTGTAAAATCAAAATATTACGTCTTTGTGGTTGCATTTTTCAATGTTCCAAGTTTCTAATACTAACTTCCATTCAAAATATCTATTTTGGTGTAATTTGTAAGCTTCTGTCTTTTTTTTAACTTCTTGACTTGTGTTTATTAGAACAACATATTTATTATTAAATTATTATTATCGAATAAACAACCATTCAATGTCCCCCAAACGTCTTCTTTGGTGAGAATTTTCCTACAAGAAAACTATCGTTTCACCAAACTTGAACACAAATCCAGTATTACTATTCCAATCAATCCCCACCAAAAGATACACATTATTTTGTCTTTTCTATCAAATTGATCATAACCACTACCTACATTCCACGAAATTGTGCACCACAAATAGAAGCTAATAAAAAAACCCACGATCCCATAGAAAGACATCACAATTCCTTCTGAAAAAAAAAACTATTTCCTGAGACGGAAATAAAGATATCAAATTTAATCAAAAGTTTAAATCAAAATCAAAAACAATGTTTACTGGAACATTTGTAGAAAATCAAGCTAGAGATATCACATAATCTTTGTGTTGATTCTTAGAGATCAATTCCATAATTATTGATTTTCTAGTTATTCGATAGACTTGTATTATATTTTAGAGGCTAATCTATAAGAGTTGTTATAGTTTTGCTTGTGTATAAATATGTACATGGTATTCAAGTTGGAATCTACATCTTTTCTCTCATTGAATTCTTATATGGTATCATAGCCTGGAGGATCCAGGCTGTGTTTCTGTACTCCAACACTGGTCCCGTTCCAGTATCTTTTTCATCCGACTATATATATATATATATATATAGTATGGATTCTATTCTCTCTTTAAATTGGTGCAAGACTGCACTATTTTTCCTTCGTTCCTATTGAGAAGTTCATCACAATCTACTGTTTAGCATCATGACAAAAGAAAGAGGGGTATCCAAATCTTCTTCCAATTCATGGACCCAAACCTACAGTGATAACTCTCCCTTGCTGATTACCAGTCACAAACTTGATGGGAAGAAATTTCTACAGTGGTCATAGTCAGTCCTTATGATTATATGAGGAAGAGGAACTGTATACCTCAATGGTAGCATCTTTCGCCTTAGTTCTGTTGATAAACAATATAAAGGCATGGGAACTCACCAATTGTGATGGAATGACTCATAAATTATATGGAAAACAACCTCATCAGTACCTATCTATCGTTTAAAACTACAAAAGAAATATGGGATGATGTCAATGAAAACTTCTCTGACATGGGAAATGCCGCCCAAGTATTCGAGATCACGATGAAGTTGAAAGAGATTCGTCAAGGTACTTTTGAAGTAACTAACTACTATAACTGTTTGAAAGTCTTATGTTAGGAACTGAATATGTTCTATGAAGCTGATTGAGGCGAAGTCGAAGAATATGTAAAATTCAAGGTACACTTGGAAGAAAGAAAGACTCTACGATTTCCAACAGGTTTAAATCGTTAATTATATGAGATACGTGGGAGAATTCTCAGCTGAACCCCTTTACCATCAGTTGGTGAAGCATTTGCGGAGGTTCGTGGTGAAAAAACCGTCAGCGTGTAATGCTCGGTTATCAAAAGGAAGCTAAACCAGTCTCCAATAATGGGAATTGTTCTATAGAGACCTCTGCACTTGTCTCAAAATGACCACCCATCTTTAAGCTTCGTGAAAGAGGAGACTCGTGGAAGAACAGACAAGGAGATTGTGTATGGTGTACTCACTGCAACAGAACATGCCACACACGGGACAAATGTTACAAGAATTATGGATATCCATGGGCAAACTAGAATCAAACTACATCGAAGGCGCACCACACATCATTCTCGCTTGTACCAGAGGAACTACCTACTTTATATGAGGTAATGAATGTGCAACTGAATAGAGCCCTCCTCATGAAACCTATCAATCGTAATGGTCATAATGCCTTTAATGTCCTTTCTAAATCCAGTGCTAATAACCATTGGATCTTCGACTCAGGGGCCTCTAATCACATGACCGACAACTCCTCTTTATCTCACACTTGTAGTCCCTGCCATAACCAATCTAAGGTAAGGATAGACGATGGATCTTTCTCCCCGATTGTGGGCACAATCTTGGTTTGCCTCACAGATCAAATCACACTCACTAAAGTCCTTCATGCTCCAAAGTTGTCTTGTAATCTCCTATCTATTCACATGATCACTCAAGATAACAAATACTTGGCTCTATTCTTTCCACCGATTTTCGTGTGTAGGAATAGGGATCGGGGAGGACGATTGACAATGTAAAGTCAAAGATGGACTTTATATCTGGGAAATTAATGAATCAAGAATAAACAAGCATGTTTAAGCTCTAAAGTTTCACCTTCCAATA